TCCTGTCTATAAATATTGAGTTACGCTTTAGCAAATGGAGATGGCACACTTGCCTTCTCCGGTCTGCTTCTCCACTTCGTTTCTCTAGTTGTCTGGGCTAACAAGTGCATAAAATATACGTATCCAAAATTCATTCTCGTATTTGAATAATTTTAGTCCGTTATTCTATAACGCGAATTAAGTCAATAAATAAATGCAAGGGTTGGTGACATGTTTCGTTAACATTGTCATACGATCGAACCGGAGTTAGATCAAAGGGCAACTAAAACATGAATAGTTTCACTGTAACTTATAATAATTAGGATGACGAATATAGTTTTCATATGATTTCTCAAATATTATAAACATTTCAAACAAAGAGAGGATTATATAGGCTTGCTTTTTAAACTGATCACAGAGCTAATCTCTGGTTGTTTAATCAACAGACATATAAAACTCTAGAACTTCTTGTTAATTTCCTCTCACTATCCGCTCATCCTTCCAACTTTCATCATCATCCATGTTTACATAATTTAATTTGTCAATCATAACTATTATCAGAATGGGTTTAGTGGAGATTTAGAAATTTCACAGGTTGAAATCACGAGTCAGTTGAGCTAGACCACCATGGAAAACCTGCAAGCACTGGATGGCCGTTTCGTCTTAGTATGGGACTCCTCAGCAGTGCGCATCCACGATTCCGCACCCTGCGGGATTCGGACCCAGGACGTACTGCTTTCGCGCGCGAGCACTTAACCTCTAGACCAGTAAGCTGGCACCCAACGGTGTTAATGTCTAGCTCCAACCAATCCACGAAGTTGCGCCACCGTACACCATTGTCCTCAGTGAGCTGATATCTCACAACAGACCTGGTTGAACTCCACTGGTAACGGCTTCTCACTAGAACTCTAGGAGTATCTCCTGAAGTCAGTCACTAATGAGCAGTTGATTATTACCAGAATGGGTTTTAAGGAGATTTTTAGAAATTTCACAGATTGAAATCATGAGTCGATTGAAGCTAGGCTATCATGAAAAACCTGGAAGCACTGGACTGCCTTTTCGTCCTAGTATGGGACTCCTCAGCAGTGCACAGTGCTGGATGGTTTGGTTGTGGAGCTTTCATCGTTCTTCTGAATGACATCATCAGCACAAACTTCAGATACAAGTGAAGTGTGCTGATGATGTCGTTTAGAAGAATGATGAAAGCTCCACGACCAAACCATCCAGCTCAAAGAACGAAACTCTATTAAAATCATCCAACTGAGCTACAAATCTTCACCACCACTTGAATTATCATTTTCTTATAAACTTAAAAAAATTTTTTCTAGAAGCACAATTCAATACTCAATGATTCTATTTAAAAAAATAAACTGAATAGTTTTCATTTTTTCTATACAACATAGATTTTACCGACTTATTTGGCAGTAGTTCATTGACATTTCATTCAACTTCAAGTAGAATGTAGGTGACAACGATGGTATAACAACAACAACAACAACAACAACAACAACAACAACAACAACAACAACAACAACAACAACAACAACAACAACAACAACAACAATGTACATAGATAAATGTTAACAGAAAGAAAAATGTTGAATTAGATATTTGTCCTTTATTGTTTTTCTTCAAGTTATGCATCGTGTATTTCTGGTTTATTAACGGCAATATTAAATAAACAGCTTAGATTTACAATATAAACAAAGAAAGTTTTATGTTAAAAGTTCTTTAAAGAATAATATTAAAAAATGTGTAGTGACTCACGTTTATCACGAGAACACGAGTGGTTTAATAAAAACAATTATTATTATAACCAACTGTACCAGTGTTTGTTTTAACGTGCTTTTGTTTGACTGTGCTAATGACAGCTATTTTGTGCTTCCATTCTTATACTTACACTTCGATTGTAACTTCGCGCGAATTCGGTTACCTTCTGTAACCAAGGTTGTATCCTGGCACGATCTCGGTATCCTCTCGATGCCACGAGATCGCCAGCAAATATAACTCGACTTGGTCCATTAACTGCCTTCTGATATTTGACTTCTCGAGGATTTTATGGATTTATTTGGTTACGTTCAACCTTAGCCTTCTGGTCTATTTGGCACGTGTTTCTTTGTAGCGGTGTTCATAGTTAACCTCAACTCGACGCCACGCTACAAATGTAACATTGTCATTATGTAATCTTGTATTTGTTTAGTACTATTTCAACATTGTACAATATTATTTGTTTTAAAAAACTATTTTGACTTTATTAATATAGGGTGGTGAAGATTATTAAGTTTTTGATTGAGATCATGAACCGATTGATGTTAGATCATCATTGAATACCTGGAAGCACTAGATGACCGTTTCGTCCTATTGTGGGACTCCTCACCAGTGCGAATCCACGATCCTGTTTGTGGGATTCGAATCCAAGGCCTTCGGTTTCATGCAAGAATGTTCGATCTCTAAACTTTGATGAACTATTTCTCTTCACAGACTGTTTTAAGTTGAAAACTTTTCTAGGGTATAGTATGCATAATAAATTTGAATGAAATCTAATATTTTTTTGTTGAAAAATCTTTCCTTCAACTCATAAGTTGTTACAGTATTTAACACGTCAGAAGTTACTGCAACTTGTTTCTTTTATTAGTTCTGTATCGGATACTGATAACACTTCATATTAGTAGTAAGGAATTTTTGTTCAATTTATGTATTTCTTAAAATTTATTTTTCGGTTATATTTTTTTCGCTTTTAATCTCTAAGGTATTTCTTTTCTTATCAGTATAACGCATCAAGAACCATCGTGTACGTCAACACATTTCAACTACATCAATAGACGCAACTTCACAACCTTAAGAATCTACTTACCATCACTATTTTAGTTCAGTGTGGTGTCCATACATTTGTTATCCGCTTTGATCTCGTTTCTTATCAGTTCATTTAACTAACTAAATACATATTCAGGGAAACTTTTGTTTGAGTTCTCAATCCATTCGCTGTCCCCCATTGAGATTAATAATACGAACACTATTTCACTAAATTAGCCTCCTAGAGTTTCATTTAGACGCCGAAAGAAATACACTGTTGGTAATAATGTGATGCATTCAAATGTATTGACAATACAAAGATATGATGGCTTCAAACAATGGGTTCATAGAAGTTTATGCTTCATTAGATTGCTTATAATATTAGACTATCATGTGATTGACTAACAAACACCTCACTTAAATTCTGTTGGTCATTATACACTCGTCCATATGGGCTACCATGAATTCCTACTTACCATTTTCTACATGTAACAATCTGCATGTCTGTACAACGATACTGTATTAGTTCCATTGACTATATACATATATTTCTTATATGTACTACTTATAATTCATATCCGTTCAATCCACTAAGGTTAACTCGAGTTTATACTGGCTTCGGTCTAATGGCAGTGAAATTAAGTCCATATTCATTTCTATTCTGATAACTATTTCAGTCTCTGTTGATTTATTAAAATATTTGAATACAATTTCTATTTATTTCGAATTCATATCTATTCTAGTTCTGTTCATTACTGAATTGGTTAAATGTCCGTTTGATCATCAGAATACAAGTTTAATAATATTATAATCGGTGGATTCCGTGTGCTCATTTGTTCAAGATTACTGTTGAAGTGCTAGTCCACTTGCTAGTTTAATCCATTTCTATGAACATTATATCTGATGTCGCTGCCATGGTACAAATACAGCACAGTGTTTCAGCGGGGTTTTCTAAAATGGAATATATATACAAATTATATGTTGCTAGTTCCGTCGAGCAACTAGAGGAATATGTTGGGAGATTCAAAAGTTGTGGAGAAGGGGCGCTATTCAGATTAAAAAGCTCGTCTAATCTCAAATCAGACAGCAAGCCTTGTTTAATTAACAAGATTATTAATCCACCATTTCCTGTCTAGAAAAAAACACCATATGTAAACATAAAGTTGACGATGTAATACAATCAAATAACAAACTCTCCTCTAGTAACAAGTCCATTAACGAACGGATAATTAGTATATTATTGAGTCTTCCTGTTGCATTATAGACTCGTATATGAATCAGTTTTAAGTGAAATATCACACAAGGAAGTTGTGAACAGTATTTCCAGTTTAAACCGATTCAAATATAGGATCCAAATACAGACAATCTGTCCTAATATCATATTTACGCTACTGGTTAATAATGTACACGCCGACAAGTAGTATGACTTCAGAGTACAAAAGAAATGGTTAAGAGAGGAGAGATTTGCTCAAAGAACAGTCATTCGTGAAGAGATCTGACACTTGTTGAAGTTAAATCTCTGCATCAGAGTATCTTAATGATTAGCCAGTCAAGCTTGAGATATTTGGTTGTGGATTTTCGCGCGAAATTCAAAATACGATGACTGAGAGCTTATATCATGCTAAAGGTTTAGGAATGCCTACCAAAGTCACGTTGCTGAGACATTTAAAATTGATAAAGGTGGAATACTAAACAACACAAAACATAATTTATCAATATTTCAAGGTAAGTAGAGGATGAATTTAAAATCGGGATCTGGTTGTATGAATATTCATCCTTAAGACTGTGCTGGACCAGAAAATGTATAAGCGTGAAAAGTATCAACAAAGTTCGACCTGAGCACTCCATACACTTGGCTAACCCTGATTACTACTAGAAACTCCTAAATCCTAGTCTTAATCCTGACGTTTCTGAGTTTTCGTGGAATAAGTTACTTTTTTGCATCACATGCGTTTTAATTAACTTGCAATAAGCTTCGTCCTATTGGGGTTTTGCTCAGTTGCTTGTGGTAGTTTGCGAAGTCTACTTTCTACGGCATATCCATCATTAATAGTGTTTCCGAAGAATAAAGTACGTCTGATGTGCGTACACCATAAATATAAGATAGATATACCTAGTCAATACCCATGAGGCACGGAGAATATTAGACCCCCGCAGTTATTTGTGCGTTCAAGGTCGTTGTGGGGGAAGGAGGTAATTTGAATCCTGGGCTGATTTTAATCTGTGAAATGGAGCCTTCATACAGGAAGAATTGTGTAGTTGTGAGTTAGTGGACCAAAGTCCATTAGTTTTCTCTTTAGATCGATGACGACTTTCCTGGGTATTCCGAGAAATGTTTTAACTTGGCTAGCAAGTATGAACAATACATAGAGAGCATAATAGTACCTAACGGTATGATCAAAGACAGGTATGACAAATGTTGCACAGACTTACCGAATTTTAAAGGCTCGAAAGAATGTCAATCGATATTTTAGAAACTTTTGAGTTGCTTAATGCAACTGCTATAAATCTCTTGTGCGTTCTTAAAGGCGGGTTCAAGTTTGCATCCGATCTAAGTGAAAAAATACATAACAGCGCAGTTACACGAAGTAAAAATATACCCATCTTCATGGACTTCATCGTTTCCAACACATACGAAGTGAGTTTGGTGTTATTTTTAGTTTCAGAATGATGTCGTAGGTCACGAACCTCAATTTCATACTTACACTAACTTGACATCATTTAAAGACAAGGTAATCATATATAAGACTTTATCAAAATTAACTTCAGGATGTTCTCATAGTTGAAGATTTGCTTGACTCAGGCACTACTCTCAGCAGTCTGGTTCCTTATATTAAATCTTTTGAACCTCGTTCTGTTCTTGTTGCTTGGTGAGTTGGATAATTTGTGTCGTTTATTGTTTCTACTCTCATCTACATTGTGTGCATAAGGTAATTTATTAGTTTTACAAGTTTTCATCAACCTGCTTCTTACTGCCTAGGTTAGCTTGTTCTAGTGAACAACTGACACTTGGTTTTTTGACTTAACCTAATATCTATAATTTCTTATATACCCTTCATTTATAATTTACCGAGTTTTACGATAATAATAGGCACTAAGTTGTTTTGGTGGAATAAATGAGTTAAATACTGAACAAAGAGATTTCTTTCTTGCCCTGCAACAACTCGTGGCTTTTTGATAAGTACAACGAAATAAATTTAACTAAGATGGTATCTAAAATACTACCTTTAACAATCATATGACGCTTATCTGGACACAGTAAATAGCAAACACGGGAAGAGCAGAATGATTTCAAGGCTGGATTTGGATGTCTCAATCATATTTACTCTTTTAGAAACTTAAAGGTTGATATTCTCATCTGACTAGCGATAATTATCGACTTAATTGACCAAGATGTTTCGTGGAATATTTCACTAAGAAATGTCCCGAAGATATATATGAGGCTTTTAAAAGCTATTTATTCAAAAACTAGGTCGAGTTAACGCTAATAACAAACAGACATCGGAACTGCCAAACTCAGGTGCTGTTTGTCATGGTCTCCCACTATCTGAACGTATTGATTTTCGTAGATGTTCTTGTAGGAACATTTTTTCACCTAAATTTACTCGGATTAATCTTCTCGTAAACTCACAAATCAGAATGAAGTACCCTAATGACATAGTTTTATGAGGTGAAGATTGACATAATTCAATCTCCTGAATACCTTGAGCAACAAAGTCAGATTTTTTGGGATAAGTTTCTCTCTTTTTAAATATCAAATGTTGCTTCATGGCTGGTCTACGTCATCTCCTATCTCTGTTATATGTCCTGAACTAATTGAGGACACCCACCACTTCAACTACCTTTTAATTTCCATCATACCCGGTTGATCGATGTTACCAAAATTTCCATACTGACTCAGAAAATCAGCTTCACTTACGCCAATTCGCGTCAGTTAAAGTACAGGTGAGATGTGCATTCGTCAGTCGAACAGTAAGTATACTGCTTGCTAGTCCGTAACTTATTAATCGGTGACTGAAGCGTGGTCAGTGAAAATAAAATCCTTTCATAGGCTTCATGTCATTGATCATAGGTTTTTTCGAAGCGGTGTTTGTGTATCGTAGGAAAGCCAAGTAAGCGACCCTGATGTTAGATGTAAGGAGCTAAGCAAATATGAAAATCTTGATGGAGTTTTGTTTTCTCAGCTGTTTGGTTTGGTCGTGGAGCTTTCATCGTTCTTCTGAACGAAATCATCAGCAAACACTTCAGACAGAAGTTAAGCGTTCGATGTTAATTGGTTCTTATTGGCCTTAAATTTGTCATTGTTTACTTCTTTCGAACGCTTCAATTCTATCTGAAGTTTATGCTGATGATGTCGTTCAGAAGAACGATGAAAGCCCCACGACCAAACTATCCAGCTCAGAGAACAAAACTCCATCAAAATCATCTACCTGAGCTACAAATCTCCACCAACTATGAAAATCGGTCGATGAAGTTGTGGATCTTCATCAATTGATTTGGTACGTATGTCAATCCCTCACCTACTTTGACTCTTGGTGTTGGTTGTTATAGAATCATGTTAGAAGTAACCTAGGGAGGGTATACGGAAATGTGACATGAGTTCATGAAGTCACTGACTATTGGACCAGTCAGTCAGTCAGTAACAACGTAGAACTTCGTACGTACGTCAGTTGGAGGTGCCACACCACGTTAGCACGGAGATGCAGTTGTCAACTCAAATTCCGTAGTGGTAGAGGTAGTAAGAGTATAAGTAGTAATCGGAAATATTAGGGCTTGAAGATGTTATTCAAGGAGTATAATCCAGTGAAATAAATTTTGACTATTGGACCAAACCGTGCTCGTAGATGGTTACCACACAGTTGGATCTATACAATCAGGGATTTGAAACTGAATGACATGGTTCAGAATCGGTCACAGTAGCGCAGACACATTCAACCCATATCTTCCTCTAGATCTTGAGTTCCAGCATTCTTCCACACATACCTTTTAATTTTTTCCGTAACCATATTTATTATGTTCAGTCTTTCTCACTCGGTACTTTTACAATAATTTTGACTCCTTTGCTCTTCTCGTCTTACTTTGAGCTCATCCTACTGATTTGATACGGTAAAAATGTTAATTCTGACTGATTTCGCTGATACTCTTACTTTGAAGCCACGAAATGTTATACACTGCCTAACTGACATTATTTACGACGAAACAGATGGATGTGATAAATTCTAACTTTTGAGTTGCTCCTTATGTCGATCATTTTGATATATCATGTGGGGGAGTTTTCTGGACGTAAAATTTTATGCATCTTACAGGTAGTATTGGGCTTGGAGACAGTACAGGTTTATTTGATCATCTTTGAACCAAATTGTGGTGTTGCTGGTGTTATCATTCAGCTGCCAAAAAAGATGGTACGAGGTTCAAACTTAGGACCTGCGTTTGAAAGGGAGATTCCTTGACCTCTAAGTTATTGTTATCTCGAATCATAACACTATTGTATATAGGATATGAACACTTCTGGTCTAGACCTTACAAATTACCGAGAATCTCAACTGGACGGATTTATTACTTGATTTATAAGTTGTAACTTTATTATGAGTGGAAGTGCCAAGTTTATCTCGTCAGTTTCGTACATTTCACTGTATGTATCTATTGTACAAGAAGATGGCTGTGTTGATACACGTTGACTATGTATTGTAGTCACTTGAGATTTTTATTTTAAGGCGTCACTTTAAAGCTTGTGTCCGTTAACTATGTTTCTAATCAATTTGTGTTGAAATTCATCTCGGAATTTTATATTTACCTAGCCTTATCACCTTTTACTTCCCTACTTATCTAAAATTAGTTTTACTTTACTGCTCTATGTCAGCGAAACTAGAAATAGAACTTGATCACGTCTCACGGAGTGTGAAGTCCACTTCAGCTCATCTATCATTTATTTAAAAAGTTGACTTAAAATAGATACAATAATATTACCATACTTTTAATTTCCTGAACTATCAGGAACATTGACAACGTACTGTGAAGTTAGTGTGTATTCACCTGGATTTTGTTTTTATTCTCAGTTTGCGCTTATTAGATTCCAAATTTCCACTCGATCCTGCTGACTAACTTTTTTGGTTGTTGATTACTGGGTTTAGCTCGAAGAAATAAAAAACATTGTTGATTAATTTTTCCTTTCTTAATGTATGTACTAAGCTAGACAAATATACACGATAGAGCTGCAGATTCATGCATTGGTGATACATTATTGATGGTATTCTTAAAAATGTCATGAAATACTAAGGTTTAACCGAGTTATACTGTTCAAAAGGTTTTTCCACAAACTAGTACTAAACGTTCAGATCAAAACGCCTCACATTGTAATGTCATTCTTGGCAAATACTGTATTATTACAAGTATACATGGTTCTTTCTGGGTTGTAGGCTTTTGCAAATTTGACTTACTGTTATTTTCTTTTTTGTCCGATAGATTAAACAAATCCAAACAGGTCATATATCGCTGCGAAACCAATCAAATAATACTGCCACAAGGACAAGTGAAAAACGAAAGCTTAGACAGGCTATTATGAGTTGGTGAATTACTTGTCTGACTAAAGTTATTTCTTATGTATCTCTTTCTGAGTCAATAAAGATATATAAGTATGTATATACTTATCCATAAGTTATGTACAGTGAGTCATAAGCAATGTAGAACCTGGCTCACATGTTCATTGGTCTACGTTTCTACACTATATCAGCCCAGCTAGTTATGGGTTATGTACAATTTGATGCTATGCTCAAAGATTAATCCTAACAGTCAGGTCTTAACTAACTAGAGAATGATTGACCTACCCTTCATTTGCCTATGGCATTTTATTGTGGTTATCTTGTATTCATATTCAGTATATAAGCGTTCTATTTTATTATATGAAAAGACTTATTCATCTAACTCGCGGTCTTGCTTTTGATTTCTAATCATTCAGATGCCCAAGCTAATAATACTATCTCGTTAGTACCTGTCACTTGGTCACATTCTGTCATTCCGTCCATCCATCGTTTGGCATTCTATTCACTGATTTTAAGCGCAAAAATTTAGTCTAAATAAATCACAGAAAACCTCTTCCATAAAACAATTTTATTTAACTTTGGTATTAAAGCTTCTTATGCATTCTTAATTGTCTTGCTCTTGCATAGCTAGCGGGCTGGGTCAAGCATTGTGAAGTATTTGAGTGTGAATGAATCAGGCTGGCAGACCATTTCATTGTCTGACTAATATCTTACAATCAGTTTGCTGGTTTGACAAACGTTGTAAATTAATAGGTTCATAATTATAATCTTGAAATATTTATTCAGAGATTTTGGCTCACTGATTCTTATAAGCATCAGACTAATACTCATGATTATTTGTTTACATATAGACACATTGAGCAACAATACTGTCATTTTTTTGCGTGAAAAGAAAGCTTTTACTTTGGTAAGATGCAACAGAAATGTGACGTTTATAAATGCATCAAACGTCAAAATTAAAATAATCGTTTTCGTAAACACATTAAGCAGGTATACTCCGTCTAACTTATCTAGGAAAATTCACTGGATTCATAAATTTTACAGTGAGTTTCCTTAGAACTTGTCTTTTAAATGCTTTACTTCGCACTCCCATTGGGATAAAGTGTTTAATGAGTCGAGGTAAACGGCCACATTATTGATGTTATAATTTAATACTTGATCAAGAAAATATATTCAGAAACTTGTTATAAAGACAGCATATTTTACAAATTGTCTTCTGTCTTGTCTTACAGTTTGTTGGTAAAAAGAAGACAAGATTTTTCCGAGTTCCAACCAGATTGTAAGTTTAGTTTTAACACGATTGTTTTATGCTGAATATCAGCTCACTTGTTATGTCCTCACAGTTTTTTTTTATAGATGGGGAATATATCCATCATCTGTTTTTTTCAATATCTTACAATATATACTTCACTTGACTCTGGAGAAAGCTAAAGAAGAATTTTTAAATAATATCACACACCTGTAAAAGATTACCACTAATTTGGGCGAATGTCAGGCGCTTTAACCGGGTTGGTGGACATGGAGAGTCCACCTAAGGGAGTTGGAAAACCCTGATTCCAAACCAATGGTGCACATGGGCTCCAGTATCCTGAAGGAACAGATGGCGTATGAACCAATCTTTGGTCACCGGCTGCCATGGGACTGCATCCCCTTACGTTGTCCCACTGCCTTGTGGGTCAGACCTTCAGGTCGAAGGCTCCGGGTGTGGCCCCTTAAGAAAACCACCTGCTTCGGTTTGGGCACTCGAGTAGTATCACAGCCCTCATACATATCAAACGAGATCGGTGTGGCGCATATGTATTTGGTGCCTTTTTGTACCAATATCTATGTGTTAAAATAAATAAATAAATACTTATTTGGGCTATAACTTCATCGTAACTCTTCTACACTTCGTCTTCGTACTATTCTGAGTATGATGTTAGCTAGTGTATAAATCACTTATGGTCCTTTCCTACATGTCTCAGTCGTTGGTTACTTCAGATGGAAGTTAAGGTTCTGTAGTCCTGTTAGATTATTGGTCTAATCAAGGATTTATCGATTATGTTTCAATTACTTGCTAGCTTCTGGGACTTGGATGTTATATTGTATCGTATTATCTTAATTCACTATATTATCTCTAATCAAGCTGCCAAAGTAACTTAAATACATGTAGAAAATTGTCATTGAGGGTGAAAACTAACTAGCGTTATCTACTAGTGTCTGTTTCTTCTGAACCCTGTATACCATAAGTGTTTTACGAATTATTCTTCCTCCTGCAAATCCTGTAGTCGACTTTGTGACTGTGCAATTGATACAGTTTTGTTAAGGAGAAAGTGGTAAGATACAGGACCCTATCATTACTGTAAGCAAAATTCCGAGGATATAGGAGATGGATTTGGTATCCACCAAAAGGTAACTGTTCCTCAGAGTAGTTCTGGACCGATATTTAACTTAAAGAGAGAGAATGCGATGACTAAGTGTATTCATCGCTTTACTTAAATAAGTAGGAACTGGACTGGACTCTAACAAAAGTTTAGCTCCGTACAATAAAAATAGTTCATTTTCAAAAACCATAATGAATAGAAAAACTAAGTGTGAATGTTAGAGGTTTCGTAACTTAGTGCAAGTCTCTACTTCAAAGAATATGGTATTTACAAAGTCTTTCAATCTACCTGATCTATGTCGTACTGGTTTTCAGTGGGTAATTTATTGTACTGGAGTTCTTCCTGTATTATATGGCTGTGAGGTACTACTTATTAATAGATATGCGTAGATTTAATGGATTGAACCTTAATTATTTTAGAAGCATTGTTTAGGTGCAGTAAAGCTACTAAATGAGCGTTACTCTGACTATTCACAACGTTTTAACACAGGAAATGTTGTTCAGTGAAGTGGAAGGCTTGGTTTATTTGAAACAGCTGGGTCACTTGTTACACTAGATAAATTACCATTCACTTCTACGTGTAATGCTAGTTAGATTAGAAATAGTTCATAAAGACACTGACTGATGAAATCCAAGTAGATTCCTAGTGTGTTCTGATTCCAGCGATGTCTAAGTTGTAGATATTTTAAGTGGTGTCATCCTAAGTGCTAATATTTAAGATTTTAAATGACTTGAAGTCAGTCACAATAACGTACAAGGGTTTATATTATTTCCCTTACTTTCCAGAACTTAAACTTATCCCTTGTAGGATTTAATTTGTCCTACAGATATTCTGCTAGAATTGTAAACGAACACCCCGGCCAGTATTGGCAGGTTACATGCAATAGGGATAGTCTACAGACACATCAGACCAGATTGACGTGGTGGGCGCTTAAACAACGATTCGATTGGTTAGTTATGGACATAACTAACGTCCCTTTCAATCATTTTTGTCCATTAATAATTATCATTCTTGTTCGCTTTCAGTATCTTCCTCCTCTTATTGATTTTCCGTTTGCCCTGTTGTGAAATGGGAAAACTTAGATTAATACACAGTTTCGTGCTAATATTCATCATATCATTTATATCTGGTATTGTTACGCTTTCTTTGTAAAATAGTTCAGGAAATTTTATTGACGATCATATACTCTACCAGATACTGCCCTAAACAATGCTTACTTAATTGTTACCCTGTATATCACAACCAAGTTGGAATATATAAAGTACAATTCATTTTATTTTAGATGATCCGCTGGTTTATGTAAGTTGGTTGATAAAGACATCATAAAATGGGAAAGTAGACGGATTTTATGCGTTTAGATCAATCCATATTTGTTTCTAATTGTTACTGACTTTCTTCCATAGCGTATTGTTATTTGAACTTAAACAAAGACTAACTGATATGTGACTTGACGTAAGAAAGAAGTCAAAGACTATGAATAAATATTCAATATGCGTAAAAAATGGATAAAAAAGACTTCTGAATACATTGATTTTTATACGATTTATTCACCCACTGATCTATAGTCAAATTTTTCAATAATTGGAACTGGATAGTACTGGACACTAATTAATTAGTATATGTATACACATAATTTATAAATTCACAAAATTAAACTGTTATCATTAACTTACTTACGCCTATCACTCCCAGTGGATCATAGACCGCTGACCAGCATTCTCCAACCCACTCTGTCCTGGGCCTTTCTTCCTAGTACTATCCAATTGTTGTTCATTCTTCTCATGTCTGTCTCCATTTCTCGGCATAATGTGTTCTTTGATCTTTCTCTTCTCCTTTGGCCTTAAGGATTCCAAGTGAGGGCTTTCCTTGTGACGCAGTTGGGTGCTTTCCTCACTATGTGTCCTATTCACTTCCAGCGCTTCTTGATTTCTTCCTTCACTGCAATCTGATTTGTTCTCTCCCATAGTATGTTATCATCAACACATAAAAGTAATTTGCTGACTAATGATATCTACACCTTCATAACACGTTTCAATATTTCAGTTTTCATTTATTGTTAAATTTCAGCTTTTGTTTAATATTTTTAACGTAATCTGCCTAACTGATGATAATTCCAAAAGATAGTTTAAACTAAGTAAATACAGGTTTTTAGTCCTTACAATAATGATGTGTACTTATGGATTAAATTACTGATATTCAGTTCGGTTCTAAATTCAAGTAAACGTAAACTAATTAATGAACAATTATCTGTAAGTTTAATTTATGATCTAACTGTAGATGTCATAGTTCATGAGGTGTCTTCACCCTATAGTCCCTTAGTATAATTCTCTTGTGTGTCTTTAATTTCGCCACGGTGACTGAAATACTTGGTATTGTTTGTAACGTGATTGTTCATTAAACCCATTATTTGGTTATAGACAATAAAAGTCGTTTAGCTTATTTTCATGCTATCAGTTGAATCACTTTCAAACAGTATGCATGCTATGGATTGTAATATAACAAATCTACTCTTATTTATTGAATTCCATTGTGCATGTAGCATCTTTGGATTAGAAAGACTTCGTT